CCCTGATGCTTGGAAAGATTGAGGGCAGGAGGAGAAGGGGGGCGGCAGAGGATGAGATGGTTGGATGGCATCACTGACTCAATAGACATGAGTTTGAGCAAACTATGGCAGTTAGTGAAGGACACGGAAGCCCAGGGTGCTGCAGTCCATGGGGTCTCAAAGGGCCAGATATGACTGAGCAACTAAACAACAATGAACTCTACATATAAGCTAAATAAACAGGGTGATAATATATAGCCTTGTCATACTCCTTTCCCAATATTTCTCTCAGTTTGCCTGAAACATCTTTTCGAATTGTTTGTAGAAGTAGTTTCAATTGGTATGAAATTCTGGGTGGTTAGTTATTTCCTCTCAGCCTTTTGAGACTGTTCCACTGTCTCCTGCTTCCTGCTGTTTTCTGTTGAGAAATTAATCATTAGTCCAAGTTGTTCCTCTGTGTTCCTCTGTCTTCTTTCTTTGGCTGCTTACATAAAAACCTTTTGATTATGGAAAATTAAAACACTGAAAGTAGAGACACAAGTATAATGAAGCCCCATTTGCTGTCACGAACCCTCAAAGTAATAATCCATGTTTTTGCCAGTTGTGTTTCACTTGTGTATCTCCTTTTTTTTCTTTCAATCACTTTAGGTTTAACTGTGTCTGTAAGCATCTCTAATAATTAAGGATTTAACAATCACAATAGCATTATTACACTTACACAGTTGATAATAATTTTTTCAGTTCAGTCGTGTCTGACTCTTTGTGACCCCATGGACTGCAGCACACCAGGCTTCCCTGTCCATCACCAACTCCCAGAGCTTGCTCAAACTCATGTCCATCGAGTCAGTGATGCCATCCAACCATCTCACCCTCTGTCATCTCCTTCTTTTCCTGCCTTTGATCTTTCCCAGCATCAGAGTATTTTCCATTGAGTCAATTCTTTGCATCAGGTGGCCAAAGTATTGGAGCTTCAGCTTCAGCATCAGTCCTTCCAATGAATATTCAGGACTGATTACCTTTAGGATTGACTGGTTTGATCTCCTTGCAGTCCAAGGGACTCTCAAGAGTCTTCTCCAACACCACAGTTCAAAAGCGTCAGTTCTTCAGTGCTCAGCTTTCTTTATGGTCCAGCTCTGACATCCATACATGACTACTGGAAAAACCATAGCTTTGACTAGCTTTGACCTTTCTCAACAAAGTAATGTCTCTGCTTTTTAATATGCTGTCTAGGCTGGTCATAGTTTTTCTCCCAAGGAGCAAGCATCTTTCAATTTCATGGCTACAGTCACCATCTGCAGTGATTTTAGAGCCCAAGAAAATAGTCTATCACTGTTTCCATTGTTTTCCCATCTCTTTGCCATGAAGGGATGGGACCAGATGTCATATCTTAGTTTTTTGAATGTTGAGTTTCAAGTCAGCTTTTTCAGTCTCCTCTTTCACTTTCATCAAGAGGCTCTTTAGTTCCTCTTTGCTTTCTGCCGTAAGGGTGGTGTCATCTGCATATCTGAGGTTATTGATATTTCTCCTGGCAATCTTCATTCCAGTTTGTGCTTCATCCAGCCTGGCATTTCACATGATGTACTCTGCATATAAGTTAAATAAACAGGGTGACAGTATACAGCTTTGACATACTCCTTTGCCAATTTGGAACCAGTGTGTTGTTCCATGTCCTGTTCTAAGTGATGCTTCTTGACCTGCACACAGATTTCTTGAGTTCACATTTTACCAGTTATCTGAAAAATAGCTTTTTACAGCTGGAATGTTTGAATCAGGATCCAAGCAAGATTTGCTCATTTGACCTAGCTTAATCTGTCTTTGTCTGTTTTACTCTGTGATTATTTTATGCATGCCATTTATTTGTTGAAATACTGTAGAATTTATCCTGTTAAACATTCTGGATTTGGTTGATTGCCTCATGGTGTCCCGTAGCACATTTCTCTATCCTTAGGATTCCTGTTATCTGGTAATTAGATCTAAAACAGGCCTTCTGAACCTTGGCACTGTTGAAATTTTGTTGGTGGTTGGCTGTCTTGTGTGTTTTAAGCTGTTCAGCTGTGTCCCTGACCTTTCCCTTCTAGATGCCAGTAGCATACTGTAGTTATGACAACCAAAACAAACAAACAAACAAATGAACAAACAAAAAAAACAGTCTCTAAACATTGCCAGGTATTCCTTAGGAGGTGAAATCACCCTTGTCTGTGAACCACAGATCTTGGATCTGATCAGAGAAAAGCTCTAGGGAAGCTTCGTAGGGGGTTGTGTGCTTCCTCTCACATTCCGTCAGGAGCCACATAGTATCTACTGTTTTCCTTTGGGCAGTATTAAGATTGATCAGCGGATTTTGCCTGATCCATCCAGGGTAAGTTTCTCCACCAGCTTTCCCCCTAGTGAGCTGGTAGGCATTGATGATTGTCACCCAAATTTGTGATTTTATTTGATATTGTACAGTTGTGAATTATAATTCCATTGTGCTTTCTGAATTATTCCAACTTTTTCTATTCCAACTATTCCAACTTTTTCTGTAAGAAAGAACTTTCTTCATCAATACTAATAAAAACAAGGATAATCTGAATGCAAAATGATAGCAAAGTTGAATCTGTTTGCATTTGTCCCCAGTATCAAGCCTTCAGCCTTGCCTCTGCCTTGCTCGGGCTTGTCCCCACAGGGTGATTCTTCAGCTCAGCCTCAGGTTCTTAATCTGAGTGCTGGAGACACTAACACGCGTCAGTAAGTTCTGTCGTGAGGGATGAAGCACCTGGGCCAGCCCGCACATGGTTGTTTTCAGTGAACATCCTGTTCCTTTCTTTATCCACACCTCCAATGACCCATATCTGGTCATCTGGCTTGATTGTCTTCTGTTTCAATGAATTTTTTGTTACTGTCAGTTCTCTTTTTTAAATAAACTGTTTCCAACAATGAATCTCCTTAGTTGGGTGTAGCTCTTGTTTCGATCCTCTCCTTGTTTTCCTGGTCTGTTTTGATTCACTGATGAGTTATGTTGTTGTCATAGTAAATTTACTTCAGGAGAAGTATTTCCATCCAGGCTCTGGCATCTTTGTTCCATTTCTTTTAAGCAGAAAAAAACAACTTCGTTAAGTGTATATTGGTTCCTTTCCCCCAGTTTACTTGTCCTTCAGTTTGCTTACTTGTTATTCTGGAAGAGTCTGAAAAGCTGTGGTTTTAAATTTATAAATGTTTTCTTAATTTAAAAGTTATACATGCTCCTCACAGAAGAAAATATTTTAATGTTAAAAGTATAATGGGGAGAATTAAAATTGTTACTGGAAAGCCTTTCAGAGACCATAACAGTTCCTGTTATTTTGGTGTTGTTTCTCTCCCTGTATATGTTATTTTTCATAGTTGAGTCTATCTGGTATATACAAGTGTTAGCCTGTCTTTTTTTTTTTTCACCTTATCATAAGCTTTTGTCATTTAAACTATTTGTATGGGCTTTTTAATATTCATAGTATGATGTTTCCCGTAGATGTTGCATACTTAGTTGATCTCCTGTGGTTATATGTTTCATAGTTTTTATTATTGTAAAAGAACTTATTACAAACACCTTTGTGAATACAGATGTTTGTGTGCTTGATTTCCTTAGGAGATAATTTTGTACAAATGAAATCAATAAACAATTGTTTTAGGGCTTTAAATAAGTATCGCCCAGTTGCTTTCTTAGAAGATGATACTATATAATTTATGCCTTCAGCCAAGGAATTGAATGGTGCCGGGTGGTGGCAGCTGACAGTCCACAAAACACTGTAGCTGCTGCGGCTCTAGCTAGTTTCACATTCAGCCCAAGGTTGTTTTCTCTGGCTTGTCCATTCATTCTCTGTAGGACTTCAGAGTGGCCAGCAGTTGGGGAAGAAGACTGGAGGGTTCTGCTTGTATGCTTCTTCCAACAAGTAAAAGTGAGGTGGATGGTGGGCATTGGCTCTGAGTCACTGCACTGTCTCCCTGGTACCCCTGGGGTCTCAGGAACCATTACTTGAAAAATTGAAACATACCTTAGGATAGTTAAAAATGAAGCACTGCTGTGAGAAACATACTCTGCATGAAGACCACAATCTACTTAAAAAGCACAGTGGTCACAGCCATTTTAACCCTGGGGAGTTTGGTTTATGGCTGCCAAGGGGGAGAGGGGTACTGAGTGCAGAGGATGCCCTTCCGGGACGGGGGAGCCGGGGGTGAGGCAGACGAGGGCAGTGCCACGTCCTCCCTGGGTCAGCGTCCTGTGCAGTCAGGCCTGCCTGACCAGCGGGCTCTGTGGCTGCAGGCCAGACGGGCCCCCCTCCTTGCTGCCTGCTGGCCCCGCCTGAGCCGCCTGCAGGGCAGAGGCAGCTTTCACTGGGCAGCCCGGGATACCTTTTCTTGGGGTGTGAGCCATGAACGTGGATGGGAGCACCTACTGGCCCTGGTCTCTGGGGCTGACAGTCTTAGAACATCCAGATCAATGGCCCCTATGGAGGCAGGGGGCTTCCCAGGTGCAGTAGTGGTGAAGGATTCGCCTGCTAATGCAGGAGACACAGGAGACTTGCGTTTAATCCCTGGACTGGAAAGGTCCCCTAGAATAGGAAATGGCAACCCACTCCTGTGTGCTTGCCTAGGATTCCATGGATAGAGGGGCCTGCAGGTTACAGTCCGTGGGTTTGCAAAGAGCTGGACACGACTGAACACTTACACACAGGGAGGCAGAGGTGTCCACAGCCAGGGACGCTCACCAGGCTTGGTGCTGCTCCCCAGAGACCCTGGCGGAGGGAGAGGTGAGGAAGGGTCTCTGGGTCTTTGCAGCAGACAGTCAGATCCTCAGAGCTGGTTCACCCCGGCATCACCCACCTCAGCGGTGATCTGGCTGTGATCAGACAGGGCCTCATGTGAAGCTGTGTTCTTGGCCTCACGCCCTTCCCTGTATGGGTCCATGAGCCTGTGGGGCTGGAGCTTGGAGGGTATTGCCCAGGGGTGACCTGCATGGTGTGGGTTTATGAGTTGCACCCCTAACTTGGTGGCCTTTGTGCTTGTAGGTGGTAATGTGGATCTGGAAAGCCAAGCAGAAGGAAAGAAGGAGGTGGAAGCTGATGATGTGATGAGGAGCGGCCCCCGACCCATTGTCCCGTACAGCTCCATGTTCTGCTTAAGCCCCACCAACCTGTGAGTCTTGCCACCAGCCCATGTCCTGCACTGTCTCCTAGTCCACGGCCTGTGATCCATGTGCACATGAGAGCAGGTGTGCTAGACATGACCCAGCCCGTTACGTGCATCAACATCTTGATAGATCATCACAACTTCCCACAGAGTACATTCTGCTGTTGCCTCGCTTTGCCGATGAGGACATGGAGCCACAGGGAAGGCTGGAGTCCAGACATACAGCCCACCCGTCTCAGTGGCAGAGCTGGGGTTTAAACCCAGACAGGCATCCCAGGGCCTTGCTTTTAACCCCCACTGCAACCACAGGTCACCTCTGTGCACACGCACCCGGTTTCATGCTGCATTGACACCTTCCACTGGAGCCCACGGACATGCGTTGCAGTCCTCACATGTCACTCATCCACATACCACTCCGGCTGCTTCATTAGCTCGACCAGTGTTCAGACGGTGTTCTAGGTGCTGGGAACCACAGTGATGAGCAGCAGCGATGAGAGTCTGTCCTCTAAGCTACGGGCAAGTGGAGAGGCAGGCAGCAGACGGGGCACCAAGGTGGGGACATAAGGCACTACATGGTGGGAAGGGCCAGGAGGAAGCACAGAGCAGAGACTGGAGGTGTGCACGGTGGGGCTGAGGTGGTGAAGTGGGATTGGAGCCCACGGAAGGAGAGGGAAGCCCGCCAGGCAGGGGTGCAGGCAGATCACATGTGGAACTCTCACCACGGGGCCGGAGCAGCAGCGTCTGAGGGACCCCCGCCTTGTCCCTTTCCCGTGTGTCCAGCCCCTCTGCCCTCGGTCATCTAGCAGTCTGTCCACCAGCTCTTGCCGCCCGCCCTCCCCTCCTTCCTCTGCTCAGCACACCAGTGTGGGGAGTTCGCTCTTCAGGGGTTGGGCGTGAGACGGCGGTAGAGACAGGTATGGCCCCTGCCTCCAGCACAGACTGGTGTGTCCATCACGTGACTACGGCGTGGGTAGGTCGGGCAGGGAGGTCTGGTGTCTGGGAGCCTTCCTGGAGGGAGGGAGGGATCTCGGCTGAAACCTGAAGGGTGGGAGGCGGGGTGAAGAGGGAGGAGACAGTGTTCCTAGAGGGCGGACAGAGCTTGCGATGGTCTCGACGTGAAAGACCTCGGGCTCCAAACAGCTGAAGGCAGTTGGGTGAAAAAGCACAGAGGCAGACAGGGCTGATGTGTGTTCTGTGGAGAAGCGGGATGACGTGAGAACCCAGAGGAGCTGGAGAGGCTGTGGGGGTGAGTCTCAGGCAGACTGCACTGGAGCCCTTAGGTGGAGAGAATGGAGACGAGACAGAGAGACCGTTTGGAAGGTGGTTGTGGCAATTGGATGAGGGTGGTCAGAGTGGAGAGGTTCGGGAGTGAAGTGCTTGGAGAGAAATTTTAGAGGCAGAATCTGCAAGATTTGATGGCAAAGTAGAGATGGAAGGGGTGGAATTGTGAAGGATGACAACCAGGGTTTCTGCTTGATGACTGGAGGCCTGGCTGAGCCCGGGAGCCCGGGGAAGCTGGCAGGTGGCATGTGGCCAGCGGAACTTCAGGGTCTGAGGAGGGGTGGAAACTCAGCCACAAGATGAACTGGTAGTGTTGTTTTGAAGAAAAGGGGCTGGGACGGAAGAGAGCCTATGATGGAGCGTCGTGGGGGTGGAAGGAAAGCGTCTCAGTTTGGAGGGAGAAGTACCAGCAGGGCACTCGGGGGCTTGGAAGAGCAGCTTGGGGAGTGGGGGGCTGGAGCTGGGCCATGGCGGTTGGGACGAGAAGCAGACAGGAAGGGACAGAGACGTGGTGTCCCTGAGAACATGGTGTTGGTGAGAGGAGAGGTGGCAGGGGCTGGTGGGCGGAGGGCGAGCCCGTGGAGGCAAGAGGGGCTCTGAGAGCACGTCTCTTGAGGGGGCAGAAGTGACGTCTGTTTGATGTGCTTGTCACCCAGGCTTGGCTTCACTGTCCCCCTGAGAGGCCTTGCTGGTCTCTTGGTCACTCTCTCCTGCTATGTCGTAGTATTTGTCAACGTCTGAGCATCTCCTGTCGATTTCTGTTTGCACTGTTTACTGGTGTCTTGGTTGCCACTGTGTCCCAGTCCAGGATGTACCTGAACAGACCAGAATAGTCGTCGGTGGTGCTGACTAGCGAATGGAGGCAGACAGGTGACTGAAGGGCAGGTGTGCACACGCGTCTCTGGGAGCTCAGTCGAGGGCGCCCAGCACTGGCGTTCAAGAAGGGCTGCTCGGGGACTGTTGGTGCTCGGCTTCTACCCCACCCACAGCAGAGCTGGAAGCCTGTCCAGGGCATGGTAGCCCCACAGTACGTAGACAGGCAGGCCTGGCTGGGCCCCAGTGGAACTTAATGTAGCAAAAGGTCCAGACCAATTTGGCCTGTGAACGATGGTGGCTGGCCCTGCCTGGGGTTTCTGCAGCCTTCCACCATTCCCATTCACTCCCAGGAATTTGGTCCCCATCAGTCAGCTGGCTGCTGTCACCTGAACAGAGGGACATTTAGCAGAACTCAGCCCTTTCTACGGGGAGGGGCCAGGCAAGCCCTCCATAAGCCTTTGCTGACCCGTGCTTTGCCTTCCAGGCTCCGCCGCTTCTGCCACTACATTGTGACCATGCGGTACTTCGAGATGGTCATTCTTGTGGTCATTGCCCTGAGTAGCATTGCCCTGGCCGCTGAGGACCCTGTGCAGACAGACTCGCCCAGGAACAACGTGAGTGCTGCTGTTGGGCTGTGGGGGGGCTGGTGCCGTCAGGGCCCTGTCTGCCCCTCAGAGTGTGGGGCTGAAGGTCTGGGGACACGTCCAGGATGCAGTGAAGACCATTACTGCAGGGGCCCCTCCCGTGGGACGCTGGCCAAGCCTCCCCTCACTTCCCCATGACCCTTGCCCACAGGCCCCAGGCCGCTGGGTTATCTGTTCAGGCTCCTGGAAGAAGACATGGAGTTGCTGAACTGGCCCCAGCTCAAGCTTCCTGCCTTGCCCTTGAAAAAAGCCTCTTTGTGGTTCCAGGTGCTGAAGTACATGGACTACATCTTCACGGGTGTCTTCACCTTTGAGATGGTGATAAAGGTGAGACGTGTGGTTGCCTTGGTGACTGCAGGGCTTTGCTCATTCCCCCCTCATGATTGAGATGAAGGCATGGGGCAAGTGTGCCCTGGGCATGCACACACGTGTGGGTGACGAGCTCACCTGCAGAGGTTGTGTTTTGTGGAGACATGAGGTCACATTTGCTAAGGGTTCCCCACAGTGTTATATCAGCCTCAGGAGAGCTCGTGAGCGCTGGGCCTGGTCTCCACTACCTGCTGACAGAGACCCTTCTCTCTGGGGTGGACAGGCTTCCCCTCCTGTGTGGTAATGAGCCCAGGTCATGCGGGGTTGTCTCAGCAGAGAGGGAGGCCAGGACCTCAGCTGGAGGAAGGAGAGTGAGGACAGGGCAGTGGCCTCAAGGCTCAAAGATTGCAGCAGGTGGGCGGAGAGGACTCCCGGGTGCTTGACTGCAGATGAAGCACGACCATGCCGCGTGGCCCCGGTCCTCTCGGTGTTGCCGAGGGCCTGTGTGCGTCCCCACAGGTGCAGCTCGAGGAGGGAGGGGGTGCTTGCATGGTGGCTCAGGGTGGCTTCTGTGTATGCTCACTTCACTTCTCTTGTGAGTTCCTGGGGGAAGTGTTACTGCATTTTGCAAACAAGGACACTGAGGCCCAGAAACAGTAAGACGCCTCCAGAAGTCACCGCTGCAGAGGGGCAGCTCCACAGCACCTCCTCCTGCCAGCGGGGCTGACCCTCTGAGGGTCTGCAGGCGGTAAGCTCCGGGCAGGTGTGCCTGCAGCCCAGGGAGGAGACTCATTCAGGCTCCAGAGGAACTGGAGGCCCGGCAGGCTCTCAGCCAGTCTTGGCCATGCAGAGTCACTGGGGTCAAGGGCATGGAGATCCAAATGCCTGTTGAGGCTTTAAGAGGCCATTAACTGAGCCATGTCTGCTCCCCTGACAGGACGTGACCTGAGCCGTGACCCCTCCCGTGACAGGACGTGACCTGAGCCGTGACCCCTCCTCTGACAGGATGTGACCTGGGCTCTGGCTCCTCACCTTGACAGACACGACCAGGACCGTGTCCTTTCCCTTGACAGGATGTGACCTGAGCCATGACCCCTCCCCTGACAGGACGTGACCTGAGCTGTGGCTCCTCACCTTGACAGACACAACCGGGACTGTATCCTCTCTCCTGGGGGGACGGAACATGAAACAGCATCCTTCCTCTCACCACAGGTCTCTGGGCTGTGACCCTGCCTTTCTTTTCCGAAATATTCTGTTCCTTAAAGTGTGTTGTTCCCCTAAAGATGATCGATTTGGGACTGCTGCTGCACCCTGGTGCCTACTTCCGGGATCTGTGGAACATTCTGGACTTCATTGTGGTCAGTGGGGCCCTGGTGGCGTTTGCCTTCTCGTAAGTACCTGGGTCTGCTCTGACTTGCTGGACAGCACCCCCAGAGCTGTGATGAGTGTGGGGGGGTGGGGGAGGAAGGGGTGCCACGGCCACCATGCTGTCTCTCGTCAGTCCCTGTCTGCTGGGGGCTGGCTGTGGGGCTGGGAGGACCTCAAGGCTCGTCATCCCTGACACACCCTGTGGTTCTGAAATTGGATAGGCAGTCTCTGGCTTAAGGCATCTGCCTCTTGCGTCCTATAGAAAACTCTTGGTGCCCTGAGGAGGCTGCACTGCTTGGTCAGCGAGGGCAAGCGGGTGCAGCTGGGTGTCTCCCCTACTGGGCGGCTCCTCTGTTTCCTGCGGCTCCCTAGTGAGCAACACTCAGCCCTGTGTGGCTGGGCCTAGATTGGCTCCCTTAGACCCTGCACGGTGGTGGGTGGGGGCTTGGGTGGAGCTGGGGGCAGATTCTGGGGAGGTGGCTGCTTACCCAGACCAAGATGTAAGTAAGCTTCTGATGGACAGCGAGCTCTTGGGTTGGGGTCGTTTCTGAGCCCACGGGGAGGCCTCCTCACTGACTCTCTTCTCTTTGTCTCCTGTTGCTGGACTCTCGGTAGGAGCTTCATGGGGTAATGCCTTCCCTCTGTCCCCTCACACTGCCCCACATCACAGCACGCCGCAACCCCACGTGGGCCGTTTCATCACCATGCCTCACCTCTGCTCATTTCCTCCACCGCCTGGGCTGCATGCTGTCAGGAGCCATGTCCCCCGGCCACATGTCCCCACCTCACCTCTGGGGGCTGGGTTGGGGGCTGGGGCTGGGCATGGCCCCCCCTTGGTGAGCAGGGCATCCTGACTGAGTGCTGGAGGCTGGGCACCTGGGTCTGGAGGGCAGTGCCCATGCTGGCTGGGAGCTGTGTGACCCCAGCTGCCAGGATGTTGGACATCCTGAGATACTTTCCCACTTGTCTCCTCTGGAAACAGGGCTTTCTTTGCTCTTTCCTTTCCACACTTCCCTGAAATGCCCAGCATCTCTGACCCTCACTGTTATAAAGCAAAATTCAACCGAGTGAATCTGAAGGGTTTATTCAGTGATTTGTGAAACAGGCAGCATCCCATCTAGTAGTTAGAAAGGCTGTACATGGTGGAAACTGTGTAAAATGGAAGGCCTTTATAGACAGGGAGCCAGATAAGGTTTTAACAAGAGGGAAGAAAGGATTGCTTCAGGCAGTGTTACCTCAGTGGTGCTCACTAGGTGATTCCAGAAATTTCATTCCTGGGAAAGGTTAAAACTACAATTAGGTCTTGGTCTGCTCTCCTGGGGGCAAGTGGCTCCACTTTGGTCCTGTTTCTTTTTATTTTTCCTTCTTCTCCTTCTTCATTTTCCTCCTCCTCCTTTCTCACCCTCTTCCCCTCCTTTTTTTTTTTTTTATAAACGGTTCTCCCCTTCTGATCAAACTGTCAAGCCAACTGAGAGATGTGATTAAAAGTTTAGATGTGTCAACTGTGCCGACTTAAAAAAAAAAAGCACAATGTGAGAGCTGCAAGTTAAGTTCTATTTGCGGCAAAATGAGGACTATATCATGGGAGACAGCATTTCAGATAGCTCTGAGAAACTGCTCCAAAGAACTAGGGGGAGAGGTCAGTAAATATGTGATTTTGGAGAAGGGGAACACATGAAATCAAGCACATATATTTTGCAGAAGTTTTCTGCTAGTGATGAGGAGCAGCCATCGCCGTGAAGTGTTTTAGTGCTTTTCTAGATATGAGGAGATGCAAGCACTGGGCTCGTAAAATCTGCTCCTGGAAATATCTGTCTGAAGAGCTGTTCTGACAGTTTTTGCTAGAGCACCGAGGGCCTCATTTGTGCTCTCCACCTGGAATTCCTTTCAGGGGGATGTTGAAAGTCAGCAGCTGCAGCAGCACATGATTTAATCCTTGCAGAGGTAGATGCCAAGTGCCAATTTGTAGTTGACAACTGAAAAAAATTTACAACCTGCACGTTGAGAGTTACCTTGTATTTGGCTGACAAAGCTGAGGACTTAAGCCTGGGACACGATATCTCAGATAACTCTGAGAGACAGTACCAAAGACGCAAGGAGGGAGCCATGAGCCACGATATGTAGGAGTTTTTGCAACAGAGACCTGGTAGTCAGAATATCAAAAGATTACTGTTATTTGAAGAAAACCAGGCATCTTAAGGAATTTAGTGCTTTCCTATATATGGGAAATACAAGAGTCTGGGCTCACTGAAGTAAATTCTTTGATGTGTACCTCAGCTATCTGGGGCCAGTATCCTCCCCTTCTCCTCCTGAGTCTCCTCGGGGTGTCCCATTGAGGGGGGCTGGCTCACTGCTAGATGGGGGACATCCTGCCTCCACCCCAAATTCCCCCAGGGCTCACTGTCAGCTGTAATGTGATGGCTTCAAGGCTGCAGCATCCTTTGTTTACTGATATGGCAGGCAGTACTTTTTATTCACAGGTGTTAGCACCATGCTCAGCTCCCGTTGTGTAGTTTTTGCAGCTTTGATCTTAGACATGGTATCTACAGGTCATGATGTATTTGTTTAACCCCTATGACATTCACACAGATCACAGTTTTAGGTTTATAATCCTTATGTTGGTCATTTTCTTTGCTTCGACATTCCAGTCAGAATGGAGACCACTTACTTAGTGGCTATCAGCTACAAATATGTATTTAATGTTTTTGAGAGAATATAACAGACATATCAGGGGCGTTATAAACAGGATAATTCCTAATGTTTGAAGTGTATTTTGGAGTCATGGTCCCCAAGACCCAAACCAATCAAAGAAAGATCCCATGAAGAAGTCACAGTTTTGAGCCAAGTATCTTGCTCAGTGATCTGATTTAACTGATTTTCAACTTCCCCAGAAGTGTCGATCTAGGTACTGTAGGTGGTGTTGGCCAAAGCATAGACAACCTATTGCTCTGCTAAAGGTAACTGAAGGCTATCCTATTATTAGGACCAACCTTGGCCAGAGTCTAAGGGTGTCTCCTGGGAAGCGGATGTCTTAGGAGGGACCTCTGCCGTGTCTTCAAGAGTTAAGGAGAGGTTCTGATCATACCTTGTGTGTATTTGCTCCTGACCAAGTGATGGACGTATTCGCAGAGTTTACTGTGTTTACCCGTTTAAGCCAGGGGTCACTTAGGCTTTTAATGTACCTGAAAAGAGAATCTCCTCTCATGAAATAAGGAGTCTCCCTAAATGTCTTGCAAAGACAGGTACTGCTGTGGGGTTTCCTAGTGAGTGGAGATAAACCACATCTACCCAGTTGGGGTAGATTGGAATCAGCCCTGGGCAGAGCAACAGGAGTGAGGCAGCCCCAGCCTTGGTGCTGGGGATTTGGGGCTGGTCCAGCACGAGCCTGCTAAAACCAGCAGGGGCCTGGCCTGCTGGACACTGTTGCAGGGGCCCTCTGAAGCCTGCTGCCCCTCTCTGCTCCAGGAATTGAGAAAACAGTGTAGGGGATCAGACCAGAGAAGGGGATGCTGAGGCTTCTTCAGGTCTGAAATATTTATTCAAGGTTCAAGTCCCTGAGGTTCACTGCCATCTGGGTAAGCGAGGAGGACCTGGTGCAGTTTCTTCCAAGGAGATTTTGGGGCAGTCTTTGTTCTGATTGATTTCAAATTAGAAGGGTGGAAGAAAACTGGAAACATGGGTTTGGTAAGTCAGAGCCAGATATTTGAGGAAATAAAGAATTCAGGATCCAGGCAAGTTTGTAGGTACATAGCAAAACCTCAGAAATAATTATTAGGACTAGAATCTAATATCTGTGGAGGGGCAAACATATTTTTTCTCTCTACAATTCTCCCTTTCTTTTAAAAAACCAAAGATAATCACAGTAAAAGTAATTTGTTTGTGTTAGATTTGTATTATTTATGTAAGTGCTGCAAGAAGAGTGACTGATCACATAAGTTCTTTTTAAGACTGCTTTGTTGCTGCTAATTTTCATAAGGAGTTTCAGACTGAACTCTCAAAAGCCTTCAAAGCCAGGAAACCAAGCCAAGGACATGGCCATCAGATTTTACCTACAACCCCTTGTCAGTGAAAGCCTTCGTCATATGGCCAGTGTTTCCAGTTGTGTCCTATAGAAGGAGAATAGGTTCTTATTGAACTTAGGCAAATAAATATATTATCATGGAAGTAAGAGTACTCATTGAAATACTCTGAATTCTGAAGGAATCAGGGAGAAAAAGTAAATGTTTCATCTTTGTTCACAAAGGTATATCTTACCAAATTGTTGATAGCTTAAGGGACAAGATTTCTTTAAATCTGGAAGAACGTTAATGAACCAGCAATATTTTAGACACATAATCATAACAATTATAGTCATCCTACATACGATTTTTGCCATCTTGTAGAAGTCTCACCACCAATGTCTCTATGTAAATTGAGTCATATTAAAAGCCCTGTGGTGGGTGAAAGACCAGTGGGGTTTGCCGTGGAGCCAGGAAGAACCAGGCAGCCAACTGTTTAATTTACAGCCACTGTTAGTCCGTTTTAATGTTTCTGAGGCAGGAGCAGATGCTGCCATGTTACAAGGGTAGAGGGTGGGCAGTGAAGGGTCATTTTTGGCAGAAGAAGAAGGGACTTCACCCACATGTGCCATGGCATTGATAGATTCTGCTGCTGTTGCCTTTGCGTGACAGTCAACCGGGCGCTTCCCTGACGTCAGGCTCAGTCCTGGTGGTGTGAACCCTCCCCTCCTTCCATCAACAGGGAAAGGCAGTCAGGCCAGCCCTTCCAGAAGACTCCGTGGTGATGGGCATGGGTCTGCACTGCTCATAGACTTGCACGTGCTGCCTGGGCTGGGGCTGCCATCCTGGTGCCCACCTACCTTTACTCCCACTGGGGTCTTGGCATGGTGTCTGGAGGACTCTGGTGTGGGGTGGGTGGGAGTGCTGAATGATGGGATCTGAGGGGATGAGCTCTTCCCACCCAGAAGCTCAGCTCTCCCTGGACACCAGGTGCTGCTGACCTGGCCCCAGCTCGTGTCCGCTCAGGCAGCCTGTTGGGGGAGACGCACTGGCCTGTGGTGTCTGCAGGACCAAGGCTGTCCTGTCCCCAGTTGTCTGGGCACAGGTGTGCACCCTACCTGTCTACATGGGTGGCTTCTCCCTTCTAGAGGCTCCAAAGGGAAAGACATCAGCACCATCAAGTCCCTGAGGGTCCTGCGTGTGCTGAGGCCGCTCAAGACCATCAAGCGGCTGCCCAAACTCAAAGTGAGAGTCTGGAGTGGGGCCTGGAGGGGGGTGGGGGCTGTGTGTGTACATGTGTACATATATGTGTACACGTGTATAGGTAGACTTCACGTGTGTGTGCATGTGTGTGCACACACGTACGTGTAGGCCTGCATTGCGGGGTGCACATGTGTATCTTGCCTGGCCCCCCTGCAGCTTCCCGTGTGGGGTGGGGACGAGCAGAGCTGAGGGGAGGCCCCCACGAGGGAGGCCCTGCAGTATGTGCATGGGATGGGCTCTCAGCTCTGTGACCATCTCCGACGGGGCTCCTCTCTGCATGTCCTGTGAGGCCCTTCTTCCTCTACTCAGGGGCACCCATGGGACCAAGTCTTTTATCAGCAGCTGTAGTGCAGGGGTCAGGGTCACGGGGAGATGCCGGGAGAGCAGGGGTTGGGGGATATGGCTTTAGAATTGTGCCGCAGTCTAATTGTTGCTGAGCTTGTGCTTAAATTCACTGAATCCTCCAAGACTATGCAGTGAAATGTTAGGAGTGCCTTTGACCTGCAGGCTGGGGAGACACTAAGCGATGTGAGGTTCTGGGGGGTGGTTTGCTTAGAGCCCATGTTGAAGGGGCGGCTCGGGGGTGACTAAGGCACTAGGGGCAGGGCTGCCAAGGCAGCTGCCTATGTGTGGAGTATGCCCTGCGGGTCTTGAGAGCCGGTTGCAGATTGGCCTCTGTGCACAGCCAGCAACAACCAGACCAGGGCAGCAGGGAGAGGTTCACTGGAGAACAGGCGGCCTGGGCAGTGGGAACAGCTGGTAGTCCCCTCTGGTTCACGCACATGCCCCAAGTCCTGTCCTGAGGTGGCCTCAGCATCGCCAGTTGTCTACCCCATCGCGAATGCCCCTGTTGGGCAGAAGCCAGGCACTGTCCTCAGCTTAGCCCTGTGCCTTCCCTCCATGTTGGCCTGAGGCCTGGCTGAGTGGCCTAACACTGGCGCCAGCCCCAGGTTCTCTGTGGTGGGGGGCCCCTGCCCACACCACCTCTTCTAGCACCTCCTGCCCACCCATCCAGTCCAGGAGGACCCTCCTGGTCCCCGGTCCAGACCCTTCCGGGTCCTGGGCTGGCCCCGCCCCCTCACAGCCCTGCCCCTCCCCAGGCTGTGTTTGACTGTGTGGTGAACTCCCTGAAGAACGTCCTCAACATCCTGATCGTCTACATGCTCTTCATGTTCATATTTGCTGTCATCGCGGTGCAGCTCTTCAAGGGGAAGTTTTTCTACTGCACCGATGAGTCCAAGGAGCTGGAGCGGGACTGCAGGTAAACCGGGCCCCTCCGCTGTCCCTAGCGCCGTGCCCAGGCCCTTCCTGCCTGCACACCTCGGGGAGCTCAGTGTGGCCTCCGCTGGCCGCTGTGTCAACGCTCAAGGTCCAGGCTGGGCCCTAAGGTCAGGGGGCCACCCCAGGGCTGAAGCCACTTCCTCATCACTGAGGCCTCGGCCCCGGCTGAGCAGACAAGAGAAGTGCCTTCAGGGAGGGGCGGGGGGGAAGGCTGGTGGCTGTGTGAGCGCTGTCCTGGACACTGCACAGAAAGGGAATCGTGTGGTCCGCAGTACCCGGCTCCTGCCGCTGCTGCTGTCCAGGTCTCTGCTGCTGTGGCCCAAGCGGTCTCCCTCCCCTGACAGTTGGATGTCATTCCTTCTATAGTCATACCTCACTGAGTGGATCTGCTTACCTGTTGGTGGACATTTGGTTGTTCCCACGTTTGGGCTGCTGTGGTTACTGCTGCTTTGAATATGTGTGCAACTTTTTCTGTGCACAGGTGCTCTCATTTCTCTCGAGGATAAGCCTGGAGGTGAGGTTGTTGGGCTGCGTGGTGATTCTCTTCGTCAGTTTCAGGAGCTGCCAAACTGTTTCCCACCAACAGTGTCTGAGAGTTCTGATTTCTTCACGGGCTTGCCAGCACTGTTATTTTCCTTTTAAAAAGATGTAATTATAGCCATCTTAGTGGGGATAAAGTGGCATCTCATTGTGGTTTGATTTGCATTTCCTTGATGATGCATGATGTAGAGCCTCTTTTCATGTGCATATTGACAATTTGTATATCTTCTTTGCAAAAATATCTATTCAGATCTTTTACCCATTTTTTAAATTGAAATGTTCATCCATTTTATAACTGATTGTAATAGTTGTTAGTATAGTGCTGATAGTGCCCCTTATCAGACAGATGGTTTTCCGTCTTTAGTTCCATTTTGAGTGTTGATGATTTCCTTTGAAAAACAGAGCTTTCCATTTTGACGAAGTCCAATTTATCATTTTTTTCTATGGCCCCCTATATTTTCTTCTACGAGTCTTATAGAGTTACTGCTTACATTTAAGCCTTTGATCCATTTTGAGTTAATTTGTACGCATGGGGTGAGATGGGCTCCACATCCATATTCTTGCCTGTAGATACCCAGTGGTTTCAGCACCATCTGAATGAAGAGACCATTCTTTCTCCCCTGAATGGACGACCCTTTTCAAAAGTCGGTTGACTGCAGACACGGAGGTTTGTTTAGATCCTTTGTCTTTGACCTCTGGCTCCCTCTGTGTTCCCACCCCCAGGGGCCAGTATTTGGACTATGAGAAGGAGGAGGTGGAAGCTCAGCCACGGCAGTGGAAGAAATACGACTTCCACTACGACAACGTGCTCTGGGCCCTGCTGACTCTGTTCACTGTGTCCACGGGTGAAGGGTGGCCCATGTGAGTGCTGCCCGGCTCCCCACGGCTGCTCAGGCGAGAGAGAGGGGCAGCTGGGGTGGGGAGCTCAGACTCTGCACCTGTCACTAAGCAGATACGCCCTGGGCTCTGTGCTTACTGGTGAGAGGAGCCCTGCCTCTGGGAGTGGGCAGCCTGGAGGAGGAGGAAAGCCCAGAGCACAGTATCACGAGCTCCTAAAAGTCCTCGCTCAGTGGCAGGGCGCTGGAGGGAAGAGGAGCCCTGCAGCATCACCCCGAGCTGGCCGCTGCCTCGTTAAGGGGAGCCTGAGGGACGCATGTGTTCAGTGCCACACTGGATGGCAGGGGCTTCCTTTAGGGCTGAGAGGACCATCCCTCAGAAAGCAGGATCGATGCTCTGCCAGGAGACTGCTGAGCCCAGGGCTTCCTGACAACGGTGAAGATGGGAATGGGTCGGTGACCTGGTGTGAGACGGGAGAGAGCTGGGCAGCACAGGACTGCTGGGCCTCTCCCACTTCTCCCTGGAGGGGTAGGACCTCAGGCAGCCAAGGCCTCCTCCTGGTGGCCCCCAGCAGCCCCGAGCACAAGCCCTTTGGAAGGGGCAGCCTGCTGCTGGGAGACATGGTTCTCTGGGGAGCAGGCCTGGCCGTGCGCGGCCCCATCCCTGGCTCAGCCACAGAAGCCCTCCTGTGACGCGGGTCTCGTCTTTGCTGGGACCATGTCCTCCTGGGCTCCCCTGATGTTTGGTGTTGGCTCTTGGCCCAGGGTGCTGAAACACTCAGTGGATGCCACCTACGAGGAGCAGGGCCCAAGCCCTGGGTACCGCATGGAACTGTCCATTTTCTACGTGGTCTACTTCGTGGTCTTCCCCTTCTTCTTTGTGAACATCTTTGTGGCCTTGATCATCATCACCTTCCAGGAGCAGGGGGACAAGGTCATGTCTGAGTGCAGCTTGGAGAAGAACGAGGTGGGACTCCCTGCCTCTCCATCTCCAGGCAACTCCCTGGTGGGCAAAGTGATCAGGGCCCTTGGGCCTCCCTTCTGCGTGGGGACCACTGACCAGCATGTGGTGGGGAGGGCTGCTTGGAGAAGGCCTTCTGTCATCAGGGCTCTGTGTGTGGCTGGGGGAGGGGGTGTGCAGGGGCTCCAAGGGGTTCAAGTTCTCACCGCTCCTTTCTCCCCCGCAGAGGGCTTGTATCGACTTCGCCATTAGCGCCAAACCGCTGACGCGGTACATGCCCCAGAACAAGCAGTCGTTCCAGTACAAGACGTGGACGTTCGTGGTCTCACCACCCTTTGAGTATTTCATCATGGCCATGATAGCCCTCAACACAGTGGTGCTGATGATGAAGGTGCGTGAGGCCTGCATGGTGGACCGCAGGTGCCCATGGGCATGGGGACTCGACTCCAGCCCGGTGGAGAGCCCGCCTCCTCCTGGGGTGTGAGCAGCAGTGATACCACCCTGAGTGCTGATCAGCTGGGGTTGCCTATGCAACCCTGATTCCCTGGTCGTCCGTGGGCTGAGATCGTAGAAAGCTCCTGGAAGACACAGGGGGTGCAGGGAGGGGTGTCCCAGCATGGCAGGTGTGTCTGCCCACTGTGCTCTGACAGGAGGTCTTCATGAGCCCCATGGGGTGTGTTGGGGCAGCTGAGTCCATGGCCAACAGCACCTCTTCCTTGGGCAGTTCTATGATGCACCCTACGAGTATGAGCTGATGCTGAAGTGTCTGAACATCGTGTTCACATCCATGTTCTCCATGGAGTGCGTACTCAAGATCATCGCCTTTGGAGTGCTGGTACGTGCCGTAGCCCCTCCCGGCCTTTTGGTGTCTGTGTTCTGGCCACTCCTCCATAGGGGACCTTTGGGTGTTCACTGTTCGGAGCTGGGATTCCGTGAACCCCCAGAGCACATATGACCCTGAAGGGGCGCCCCCGGGAAGCGACCACTGGGCTCTGCCCCACCTCTGCCCCCACCCTGTTCCTGGAGGGGAGGGGGTGTGTGGCCTTGTGCTCCACCCACCTGCCCAGAGGGCCCACGAGGGGGCCCATGTGTCCTCTGCTACCTTCTTGACGAGAGGCCGCCTCCTGCAGCTTGTCTGCAGATCCTCCCTGCCCCCGCCAGCCCAGCACTAACTGTCCTTCTCTCTCTCCAGAACTATTTCAGAGACGCCTGGAATGTCTTTGACTTTGTCACTGTGTTGGGAAGTATTACTGATATTTTAGTAACAGAGATTGCGGTGAGTAGCTCTCCTGCCCTTGCAGGCCCTGAGTGGTCTCCCCACTGTGCTCCAGGCCCGGGGGCTAGCTCCTCCTCAGAGGACGGTTCCCCACGAAGCTCCTCCCCAGAGGCGAGTTTGGGGGCTGGGTATCCTGTAGGCAAATGCTTTATCTGGGATAAGAAATTGGTTCCCAGAAGGTCTTCCAGGCTGATGGCCTGAAAATCACCTGGAAGTGTAAGTGACCAGGAAGATAAGGATCTTGTAATTTCGTATGTGTCTAGTATGGATGCACCTGACAACTGGTTCCAAAAAGATACAACTAAAGCCAATAAGGATTTGGAGTGTTTTAAAATATCAGATTTGTTTTACGTATGTGTGTGTGTGTGTGTGTGTGTGTGTGTGCACGTGCACACGTGCTGAAGAGTCTAGTTCTTACTAAAATACATGGATTATATCTGAAAACTGACTGAGGGCTAGAGCATGAACATGTCTCAACAAATTTGAAAGAATCTGAGTCATAAAGCGGTGTTCTTGAAGCACAACAGATTGATAGAATCAAAGGCAAAAACATCTATGTTTCTTAAGTTCAATTCCCTAGGAATAGACACTGAGGTGACGGTTCTTGTAAAAGTTATCTTTTAGGACATGTTCCAAGGGAGAACCGTGGGGAGAGCTTTGGGGAGGTGGGTGGGGAAAGAAGAACTAGAGGGGCTGAGGCTCCAGCTCCGTGTCAGGTGAGCTGGATTGTCCCCCAGAGGCTCTGGAGACAGAGTGGGTCACAGCTCAGAGCTGCAGAGTTCTGTGCCCACCAGGCCTCGGCTAAAGGCTTGCCTGGGGTGCGGATTCCCAGGTACCCGAGTGCCCTGAGGCAGGTGAAGCAGGCTCCCGCGGCCTGTGCTCTTGGGCCTAAGGGCCACATGCAGGGCGAGGGCATCTGCTTGCAGCTCTGGCCCCACCCAGCTCTGCCCACACTTCATGTCGGGTCCTGTCTCTGGCTTCAGGTGGTGCTGGTCATGACCTCAGGGAGGAGGGAGTTGATGGGAGGGACAGGGTGCCTACGGTTGCCATGGGGACCCACGTCATCTTGGGACCTTTGCTGTGGCCAGCCCTCTGCTGCTCCGGTTGCTGGTCATACCAACTGAGCCAGCCTTCACACTGTACCGCCAAGGCCCTGCTTGCTGTGCCCTGTGGTGGCTCTGGCTGCCATGATGATGCAGGCACAGTTCAGACTGGTCCCAGAAACTTCTAGAAAGGCCCCTGGGAGCCCCCTGATTTCCAGACAGACTTCTCCCTGCCCCGTGCAAGGGCAGCTCTGCCCTTCGCACCTTGACTGTGAAGAGCCCAGAGTAGCAGGAGCCACAGTGGCCTTCTGGGTCCCACAGAGGAAGCTGTCTCCACCACTTTGAGTCTGGACTCCTAGACGTGCCTCTCCTGAGTTTGTGGGATGGTGGTGCAAAGTCACAGGAGCCACAGTGGCCTTCTGGGTCCCACAGAGGAAGCTGTCTCCACCACTTTGAGTCTGGACTCCTAGATGTGCCTCTCCTGAGTTTGTGGGATGCTGCTGCAAAGTCCCACCGGGCTCCTGTGGGTGACGGGGCCAGCTCTACTTTGGCTCCTTGTTTCCTAAATCCACGCATTTTTTTCGGGTTGGGCACCCAGTATATCTAATGGCCCTCAGTTCATCTCGAAGGACAGCCCCACCACCCTAGTGTCTTTTCTGTGCCGGAAGAGGCTGTCCCAGCATTTCACCTAGCCGACACCTGAGTGATGTGGAGACTGAAATGCCAATGGGTCTTGGGTCTCTCGCCCTATTGCCCCTCCTTTCTCTTCTAAGTGGATGTAGCGTGGAATCTTGTTCTGGTGCATCTCTGATGCTCGTGCATCAGCCAAGGCAGGCCTGACCCAAGATATGAGTGGTCCCTGTTGAGACCAGTCACTGCTGTTTCCTGGTGAAAGTTTCCCACAAAATGACTGGTGGCAGCACCAAGTGCGGCTCCCCTTAGAGGCCTGGAGGTGGCCTCTGCTTGTAATGGGCAGATGTTCAGTAGTGGCCGTGGCTATATTAGCTTTGCTAAGGAGGAGCCTGGCTGTTGGGCACAGGCACAGCCTCCCCCCGGCTGTCTCAGTCCCTGTCTTTGTGGGTCTGCCATGTGAGTGGGGACTGGTGATGGAGGCCTGCTGACATCTGTCGGCCAGCACGTCCAAGGTACGTGGGGTTTTAGTGCCTTTGTAGCTGTGGGTGCCGGGGTGGATGTTAACATAGGACACATGGTGTCCATTCCCAGGTCCAGCAGGTGCCTCTGCCCCAAACCTTGTTCCCTCCAGAGGCCTGAGCAAGCTGGAGTCCTTGCCTTATCACAGACACCTTCTTCCTACACACACACACACACACACTCGCATGCACACATGTGCACGTGCATGCATAGGCATGTACACATGCCGTGGTAGGTTGGGCACACCACCCAGAGCCCTGCCTCACACTGTCTCTTGGGTGACCCTGCTGGGGCTCTGATGAGGGCTGCACTAGTACATCAGGCCAGGCCCTCCATAGCCAGGTTTTGAGTTTTACTGCCCGGCTCTGGTGACCATCCCACGACGTGCTGGGAAAGGGTGACCTGAGAAGAGACTGGTGTGGCAGAGGCCAGAGGCTGGGCTGGGCCTTCCTGTCACATGCCTGTGGCCTCTCGACTTGCTCCCGTGTGGCCCCAGATGTGGCTTGTCCACTGTGTCCTGGGCTGTTGCTGGGCCTGCAGCACACGACTCGTGAGGGCAACTTTGGTGCCATAGATAGGGTGTCTCATGGTCGGACAGTCTCTGTAGGACCTTGTAGCCAGGCATGACATCTCTGCAGATGATGTGAATCTTTGCTCCGGGAGCCTAGGTGACCATATTGACTTTCATGTGGGGGCTTCGAGGCCCCACACAAGTGTTTATCTACCACAGATATTCCTAGCGCCATGGGGCCTGTTGGGGCTTGTGGCCCGAGCGGCAGGCTCCTGACACTGCAGTGTGGACCTGCTGGAGAGCCTTCTCTTGCTCTGAAATCTGGCAGCTTTGAGTCACCTGATAAATGGGACACAACAGTCTTTCCTTAGTTGTGCCTGCTACCCCCAGGACCCACAGAAGTCTTCCAAGAATAGGAGGTGTGAGGTCCAGTCACTAGTTTGTTCTTGACCTTCGGGTCCATGTTCGGGCATGGCTCATACCACTGGATTATAACAGTTTTGTACACTAGATTTCCACCTGAAACATGGGGAAAGAACATTTCAATCCTAAATATGTTCTAGAGAATAGAAGAGGGAACATTTCCTAACTAGTTGTATGAGGCTAGTATAATCTTGACATCAAAAATTTTAAAAAGAGTGTAAGAAAGGAAGATCATAATCCATACTCACTCGTTAACATAGATGCAGAATTCAAAATAGCATGTAAGCAAGCCAGATCCTGCAGTGTCCAGGAAGAAGTGCAATCAGGTTTATCCCAGGAACACCAAATTCCACAACAGAAAGTCTATCACTGTAATTTACATGAACAGGTCAAAGGACACTGTTAATGAGCCTGTCATAGATGCAGAAAAGATACTCAATAAGATTCAGATTTTATTCATGATGAAAATTATTAGCATGTGTTAACTTGATGAAGAGCATTTGCCAAAAAGTCCTATGCAAACACCTGCAGTGGTGAAATTTGGAAAGAATTCCCTTTAAAATCAGAAAAGGACAATGATGTCTGTAACCACTACTTCTTTTCAACATTGAACAATATATCAACAGTTCAATAAGTTGTATGTCAGCTTCATATGAACAGAGTTTTGTCTGTTTTGCTCATTGTTGATTCCAGTGCTTAAAATAGTGCCTGAGAGTTTGCAGGTATTTGTAAATACTTGCCGAATGAATAAGACAGAAAAAATAAATATTTAAGTTTCAGAAGAGGACTAAGTAAACTGCCATTAGTCAAAGATGACATATCATCTGTGGATGAAATCTAGAATAATCTATAACTAATTAAATGTGAGATTACTCAAGAGAGTGTATTGTATTTCATTATAACATCAGCACTCCTGACGATAAACCTAACAAGGTATTGTGCAAGATCTCTTTGTGCAAAATTATTAAACTTTATTGACAGATATTAAAGAAGACTTGAATAGATGGAGTTATATATCATGTTAATAAGTAGTGTCAATGTCATAGAGATGACAGTATTCCCCAGTTGATCTATAGATTCAATGCAATTTCAATAAAAATACCAATTATTTTGCTTTTCTTTTTGTTTGTCTCTCTTTATGCAATTTGGCAAGTTGTTTTTAGCATTTGTAAGAAAGAGGAAGGCTCACAAATGGCCAAGATACTTGAGAAGAAGGTGCTCCCGGGGGGACTGTGGTGGGGAGGCTGCTCCTGACAGTGAGGAGACATCCTGGAAAGTTGTAGCAATTAAAACAGTGTGGTGTTGGCACAGGAATAGCTCAAGAGCCTGGACACAGACTCACTTGTATTTGGAAACTTGGTGTGTGACTCGCTGTGGGTGTAACTGATGAACAACACAGCGGAAAAGAGAAACTGGATCTTGGTTCACACCATTCACAAAAATACGGTAAATGGATGAAAAAACTTAAATGTAAGAGACAAAACTTTAAAACTCTTAGAAGAAAATACAAGAGATTATCTTTAAGACCTTGAGATAGGGATGATTTGTTAAGCAAAATGTATGTAAAGTACCAGCCATAAGTGGAAAAAATTGTATAAAATAAAGTTTCTGTTTATCAAAAGGAGGAATGCCAATCCATGAACAGGGAAAGGATAGTCACATCACATTCCTTCATGTATATGTGTTAAAATATTTGTGCAGTGCCTGTCATGTGCTTAGCACCGTCCTAAGTGCTGGGACAAAAGATGAAAACCCTATTTCATCCTAGTGGGCAGGACACGCAGGGTTAGTGACCGGCGAGAAGACAGAGCAGAGGGTGTGAGGACTGGGTGCTTTGTGTGTTGCTGAGGCCTGGTTCCAGGTAGGGAGCT